GTTCTGAAAAAAATCATAAATTCAACCTAAAAAAAAATATTCTAATTTGTTTTGCTTTTTTTATTATTTATATGAGTATAAAAAGTGTAAAAACAAATACTATATTATTAAAATTTTATTATATACAATTCTATCACCTAGATTTGTTTAGTTAAAAATCTAGATGGCATGAAATGAACTAATGTTGTGAAAATCAAAAGAAGTGAAGTTCGTAATTATTATTTATTTTCAATGATAATTTTTTGTTGCATCATTGTTAAATCTCATACTAATTCATTCTTTCAGTGAAAGTTTAATTAAAACTCTTTTTATAATATAAATTCATTTTTTTTAACATATTAGTTATTATTCTTATAATTAATGCAAATTATATGTTTTTTATAATTGTATATATTTATTGAAATTATATATTCTTATATTATATATTATATATTCATGTTTTCAAATTCAAAATTTAATTTTTATAAATTCATATATATTTTCTAATAAAATTAGAATTTTTAAATATTTTTATATTTAAAGTGATAAAAAATTTATAAATATATAGATAAAAAATTTTAAAATAGTTTTAAAAATTTTTTAAATGTCCCACGTGATACGTTTTCTCCGGAAGAGACATCTCAAAATCTATATAACAACGCAAGAGTGCTTTAAGTGTCGTGCCAACAATTCTATGTATTTTTAGTGTATTTCACGGCACTGCTGTCTTTTTGTTATATCGTTGTGAAGAGAGGACGAATACTGTCTAAAATATACTTGTATATTTGAACTTTTTATTTTCATTTTTATTTTTTTATATTTATTTATTTTTTTTTTTCATTAATTTCGTTTAATTTAGTTTATTCACATGGAATCAATATTTTGGTTATAATTTCATTTTATTACTAACAGTGACAATTCATATAATATAAAAAATAATAAAAAACACAGCATTGACTCGCTTAACTTTTTACATTGTATAAAACGTGTGTGTAAATTTTCATTATATTTAAATAAATTATATTCAAATAAAATATAAATAAAGAATTATATTCAAATAGAAAATATAAATAAAGAATAATCGGTCGATTATAATTATTACTCTATTAATCTTATTTCTTTTTTTCTTTTAAATCTAATAGACTATTTATTTATATAGTTATTCACGTGTTTGTACATATAAAATTCACAGACGACATTCAACAAGTGGTCGTTTGATATGTGTATCATCCCCACCATTAATTGATCGTCTACATAGCTCAGTCATTCGCGATAGACAGTGAAGAGAAGCATTATCGCGGTAAAAGTGCTATATAATAACATATATGTTTATATGTAATGATTCTGTATGAATCTATATAAAAATAATACATAAATATAAGTGTGATTATATATTTAAGTGTTAAGTAAAAAAAATGGCTATGGATCGAACAATGTATGGAAAAGTAGAACCAAGTGCTATCTATCAGCCCTATAAAATCACCATCAAAAAAGGTTCACCACCAGGATGTGAGTCGATAATTTTTTTTGTATTTAATCCTTTTTTGTATTTTTTAAAGATTAGCATGATTTTAATCTTTTATTGCATAAATTTAAAATAAAGAAAAATATGTAAATTAGAGTAAGAAAATGTTTCTAATGATCACGAATACATTTATATGTACATATACGTGCATTTTTTTATATAAATGAACTAATGATCCTAATTATTAATCAAAATTATTCTCGATATGCTTCTTTTTTTAATTAATATTGAATCATTATTATATTCATTTAAAATCTGTATTTGTGTCAGTTTGCGTTCACGCAACTCTGCGTGATAACATAATGTGAACTTTTAAATTAGCTCAATTGTTTCTGACAGTATTTTTTTGTCGGTTTATAGAGCACATAGGTTTGGAAAGGAACAAATTAATTATGAAATTTTAAAATGGTTTTACAAAAATATATGATTATGATATATTATTAAATTTAATAATCATTTAATATAATTAATTTAATATATTATAATATATTATATATATTTTTACAAATATTTTATTAAATGTATAATAAAGTAATTATTAAGTAATTTTATATATTTATATAATTTTTATTTTTATTAAAAAAATTTTTTAATTAAAAACCTTAAATAATTTAAAATATTTTTTTAATTATTGATAGAAATGAATTTTTGACATATAGTCAAAGATTAATACATAATAATTTCCAAAATTTTTTTATAATTTAGTATAACTGTATAATTACCTATTTTTGCATCTAAAATAATTACTATTTGAAAAAAAATTTTAAGAAATCTTTAAAAACTAAAGAATATATTTAAATTAATATTATTGTATTACAGAATATGTGAATTTAAATTATTTTTGAAGTATACATTTGATTCTGTCTAAAGAGATGACTCATGATGTGCAACAGATCACATCATTTTTTTTGGAATACCTTTCACCTACAATGTGGGTCGCCTTGACACTAAATTCTCAAATATTTGTTGAAGTCATTATTTACAATACTTTTATGGAAATCTTTAAACAAATCTAAGATAGTTAATTTCTTTTTATTCCAAACAAGTTTGAATTATAAATGTCAATTCCCCGTGTGGCGCCATCTATTCGTTCATATTGGAATTAACAAATTGCTGTATCGATATAAGAAATTGATATTATTAATAGCATTATTATTATTATATAAATTAATAAATTATCAGTTTCTCTACATTTCAATTGTTAAGTGATGTATGCATATGTATGTAATTTAAGAATTTTTTTTTATTAAATAATTTAATAATTTATTCTATATGAATTTTATTATATATTGTGATATATTTTATTATATATAGTGATATACACTCCTACTTCAAATTACAAAGATTTAACTATTGAAAGCCTTTTTTTAGAGATGCAGGAAATCGTTCTCATTTATTAATCGTGCATATTATTGCATGAGAGATCCAGTATATGCGTAGGCATCCTTCTTTGAATGAATCTTGCCTTGATCTATACATATCCATATCAGGTATGACAGTGTGTGATTTAACTTCCTACGTTTGCAACTGATATATATTTAAAAATATATATATTTGTGTAGGATAAGTCATTTCATTCATAAAAAGTATAATATTTTTTTAAATTACGATTAAATTTTATAAAATTGATTAAATGATATTTCTTTTTGTAAATAAAATTCAAAACAAGAGAAAATCGTGTTAAAATGATAGTTATTTTTGAGATGTTTGTCGTCAGGAATCTAGTTGTAAACATTTCTGTTATAACGCGTGTTAACCAAGATGCGCAACAGAGATGATGAACAAGGTTAAGAGGAGGGAGAGAAGAGAACAGGGACAAATGAAGAAGGAGATGGGTTCACGTAACACAGATTCTGTAAATGCAAACTGAGAAACACGTGCTGTCAGTTCTACCTGATCTCGCAGTACATACGTGCCTTCTAGCAATCATTTCTTCGCGTGCCATTACCTTGCACATGAAAACAAATTTCAAGCGGTAATTGAAATAATTTCATTTTTTTATTTTTATATATTTTTATAGTTATAATTGTGATATGATTTCCTTTTTTCTTGAAGTATCAAATTATTATTATTATTAAATGATATAAGAAATATTATTTTTGATGTTTGATTTTATACAAAGCTTTTACAAAGAAATTGGCAATGGAAAAAGTTTATTTTTTTATTATTTTTTTTTTTGACCAAATTACGATCTTGTAATTGTTATTATTCCTTCAAGTATATTTTTCTTTGTATAATAATTAAGCTTGAATAGATTTCGAATTGATTAAAAGAGTTTACTATATCCATACAAATTTTATTATATTTTCTTTTTATATTTCGCAAATATATTAAATTCTATTTAAACTTAACATTACTATAGTTGATGATATTTCGTTGAAAATATGAACAATATTATGAGACTTGAATCGCTGATTACTCCGGCTCGTTTGACAACAATTCAAAAACATGCTTGTTGGGAACAATATATAAGTAAGTAATTATGGAATTAGTGGGAATATAAATTAATAACAATAATCACTAACTATCTATAGAAATCAATATGTGTAAATTATAATTAAATTGAATTTTAAATATAATATAATAACTTATTTTTTCGAGAAGAATGTTTTATTTTACTTAATAATCGTTTAATTAATAAAAATAAATTAACGACAATTCGCAATAATATATTCAAAAAGTAATAAAAAAACTTAAAAGAAATATTTCATTTTATATTAGATATATAAAAATGCATAATGAAAAATTAATCTAAATTAACCATATGATTCAGAAGTATAAAATAGATTCACAGAAGTTCAGTAGGCTTTTTGCCAACGACAAATTTCATTCAAGCTTGTTATTATATTAATTCAAAATCATTCTAACTTAAATTTGAAATCAATAATTTCATTATCGATTAGATGAAAAAATTGCTGAAATAATAATATTAATAATTTTGCTTCATATTATATAAAAATTTTTTATCTTTTCTCTAATAATCTACTTTATCGACAAAACAGATTGATTATAAGTATATGTACTTACATATATAATTCGCATTTTATATATATTTTACTGGCGTTTTCAAACTTTCAAATTATGATATTTAACGAATATCTAATATCAAATTCAAAGAATGTTTTAATTTTTGTGAAAAAATATAACTATCTAATTCAAGTTTTATTCGTGAATTCAGTGAATGAATCATTTCTTCATACTACCGGCTAGGCTGCTTTTCCTTCGTCACGAAGTAACCTCGGATTTCTACTTCCCGTGTGTGAGAATACTCCCTCCATCTCCTGTTCTTTCTCCTTCTCCAGGCCGGTTTGCCTCCTCCAGGTTTCTATTCTCCGGCTTCGAAGCCGGTCGCTTTACCGAGAACTTGATTGACAATCAGTACTGCTTTGTCAATCGTCATAAGTCGCGTGCACAAAATCTTGCCAATATCTCAATAAACACGTGACAGATGGTTCACTCGTAATTTTTCATTGTCGCAGAAAAGATATAAAACAGAGACAAATAGATAAAAAGAAATGCATTATTTATATTCCACGCAATTATAAAAAAAAGATAAATGGATATGAAATATTTACATTCAGACGTTCCTTGAAAATTCCGTGCAGTCTGCAAATATTATCAGTGTTTAATCATTCTTACGACGATTATTTTGATCTTTTTTTCCGATTTGCAAATAATTTTAAAAATTGTGAATTGAAGTGTAAAATACGATTTCGTGAATATTTATATATTGCTTTCAATTCGACCGGAAATTCGTGGTAAAGTTCGACGTTCTCGGAACAGTGGGTGTGTCGCGGTTTGTCTCGCGATGGAAGCAGGATGCGAGTCGAAGGCTGGTGCCGATAATCTTTATGAACCTTACAATACTGAAAAAACGGAAACGAATTTTCTGAGTCTTGGTAAATGATAGATTTTTTATTTTTAATTGTTCGTAATAGGATTAAATAGAGGATCAACTTGAATGCTTATCTCAAAGGTTTACTTATTAAACAATGCTCACGTCAGCGTTCTTTTTTTTCTCATTATTTTGCCGTGAGGTTGAAAGTAGCTTATGCTTATAACATAAATGTTTTTATATTAATTATTAGTAATCATTTGAAATTATTTTATTTTTTATAAAAAGAAAAATATTTATAAAGATATTAGTCATGGAATCTAAAAAAACTGAGAATAAATAAATCGCATTAATTCAATAAATTATTCGATAATTTGATTCTCAGCCTAAATTTACATTCATTTGATATTAGCAATCCTTGTAAATTATTTCAATGAAAACGTAATATATTTATCAGTATTATCGATATCATTTATATTTACATTTATATACATACATATAGCTATAAATATAAATAAGAAAAATTTATATAAACTTGACAATATTTAACAATATTTAAAAAGATATTTAAAAAGCTATAATATAAATAAAAATAAGAATAAAAAATAAAGTATTTAAATAATATTTATTATGCAAAAACATCCAATTTATTTTATTCTTACAAAGAAATAATTATAAATTTCATTAAATTCAAATCATTAAGAAAAATATTTCTGAATATTCTTCATCGTGATAATTTAATGATTTCAGATGCATTGCTGGCAGATCTTCAGAACACAGTATCATCGGAAGGAAATCATGTCGGTAGTAATGCGACTCCTGGTTACGGATCACTGAACGGCGCACGAACTACCGCCTATAGATCCTACGATAATCGAACTTCTCCTCTTCCGCCACAATCGGTATGTAAATTTTTTTGCAATATATTATCCATCATATCATCATTGATAAGATAAAAAATTTTTTATCTTATCAATGATAAGTCAATGGTTTAATAATTAATATTATTAAATATAAAAACCAATTATATATCATTCGCAGAATAAATATTGTATATAGTACGTTCAACATATAAAAACAATCATCATTATAATAATATAATAATCATAAATCATAAATTTAATTCATCATTGATAAATTTTGCGGATTAACTTTTATACATATCGATATCATTGTTTTATCTACATGATCAGAAACTCGATTGATTTAGTTACAATTTTAGTTACAATTTTCTGAGACAGATGGCGGGAATGAAATGTTTCACTTATTGTGCTATTTTTGCGATTTCATTTTAAAATTTGCGATGACCTTCTCTCAGTTTTTCATTTTCAAACGATTACTATGAAAATTTTGCTAAAAAATGATAGTGTTAATTTTGTGTGAAAATAATCAAGATTTTATAAAAATCCATTCAATTGAACAAATTATATACAATTAATTGTTCGTATTTTTCAAATTTATTTAAGCCAACTTTATAATATGATCGTTCCTATAATGTATTTTTAGATGTGGCCATGGAAACGGCGCCACTCGACATATTGTTAGAAGTTGTTTAACATGAGTGGTTTCACGTCACACTTTGAAAATAAATCGAAACAGTGACGGAATTTTTTCTAATTTCAAAAGAAATTTAATTATTAAAACTTAATTTAAATTAACAAACGAGCAATTGTATGAAAGGGTATTCTATTATTCCAGAAATAAAAGATTAAGAGATTATAATAAAAATTGTAGAATTTAAATAAGAAATTGATTAAAATTAGAATCAATTATCTCTCGACGAGCGTAAAAACCGATAGCGTAAAAACTCGAGCGATAAATCTGTAAATAAGAATGTATTTTGAAAAATTAATTTAAATCATATTTTCAATCTTTCATTTAATTCTACGACCATTTAGCTATGAAAATTACCCAACGATCAAATAACTGATCCGCAATTTCATGGTTAATCGACTCTGAAATATGTTTCTTGATGAATCACATCGGATTCTACATCTCGACCATTACCATTCAAAATTATTAATGGATTGCATTCGATCAGGAAATTCGATCGATCTCGCAGGAAATTGACCAATTACCTCTACCATCACATTTATTATAAATTGATTCATTTCCAAATCGACACAATCAAAATCAAAATAAAAAAAATTCTAAAAAGTCGAAAAATTAAAACAAAATAAATTCAAATAAAAAAAAGAAGAAGAAATATAATAAAAAGATAAAAATATATTTTTCGAAGTGACTAAAATACATATAATAAGATGTACATTGTAACAGAATTTGTAGACTTGGACGTTTATCGATCTTTTCCGTGGAATAGACATTACATATCTTGGTAATATTATCGATTGTCCTCTGGTAGGAGCGACGATCCATCAATTATTCAACCTTTCGACGTTTGAGTTGGCTGCAAGTTTCCCTATTCGCGTGCAACGCGGTTCCCATCGCGCCAACTGCATAGCATTCAATTGCCAAATCCGTTTTTTGCTATAAAGTATTACAACTTTATCCGAGATTTAATTAGTTTCATCGTCATGTTCGTTGACCGTTTTGATTATTTCTTTATTGCATAACACACAATTGTTTCACAAGATTTTTGAAGTCATCGTTTATGATTTATATGATTTTTACTAGAATTTAAAAGTTAAAAAATATTCTAAATATAAAATATTATAAATATTCTATTATAAATAACATTTAACATCTTTAAAAATATAATTATATTTAAAAAAGAAACAAAAAAAACTCTATTTTATTTCATCATTTCTAATCATGTTGTTGAACGTTTTATATATAACGAAATACGACATTCACGCTTTATAGATTCTTCCTGGACATTGCAATAAACATATTCGATATCTTTTCAAACTTCAGTTTATTAATAGATTTTATAGTACTATAAAAATTATCTTCCACTCGACATCTGTTATGAAAAAAATAATGAAAATAAATCGAAAAAAAAAACGACTTCTATAATAATAATAAATTCTTGGAAATAATAAAAACGTGTATACATCATTTTAATTTACATATATCTTTATGCAAATATAATGCTTTTCCTTGATTTTGCTAAACATCACTTGTATGATGTAAATCATAAACCGCGTGATACATATTCTTCTTGGATGTGGCGAAATTCTAGCATGACGTAGATTGGCTTTCTCAGACTTAGTTTTAAGCCACGATAAACGAAAAGTTGGCGGAAACTTGTCAAATCGCGGACTATTTTCCTTCGATTCGAATTTAGCACGAAGTAAAAACGAACGATTACGTATTCGCGCGAGTTACAATGTGATTTTCGAAGGCGTTCTGTAAATCGAACTTACTTAAGACATAGTCGATTCTCGAACGATATGTTGCGATATTTTCAATGAAAACGTTCGATTTCCAGCGTTATCTTCACATCGTTTCTTTTGATAATTGATTATTCTCAACTCTATATAAGTTGAATTTCTTATAGAAAACATGAAATCTCGTAGATTCTTATTCGACTTATTTTTACAAGTTGGATAAATTTTTTTTTAATTTATTAAGTTTCATATGTCACTGTAAATCGTGTCGGTTTATAAGCTCGTGTTTATTTTTTGATCGACCAACCTTGACGAAAACTCTTACAGGCTGCGATTCGATATTCGAGGAAACCAGTCGAAGAGATTTTAACCAGGGTTTTGCAGGATTCTCGACGTACCGCGACATGTTTTCTTCATCGGTGGTTTGCTATGGATATTTTTGGAATGACAACTCACCGACCTAACCTAGTTTCCATCAGGACGTCCACTAACATCGTTTCATGTCATTTTATCGTGGAAATATGAAAAAAAAAAATGTTACGGCTGAATCGATAGAATAAACATATGTTTCCTTTCATCTATCTACTATATCTAGTTTAGAGAAGAAATCAAATTGAAATAATGTTTATTCGATTTTGATCCATTATCGGTTAGATCGGCGGAACAAATTTGAAGCGATTCTCTCATTCGAGAATTTTGCAACAAACGAGAAATTTTGGTCTGTTTGGCGAGCAAGTTTCTATTAAAAGTATATGACGCCTTGTCCTCCGTATGTCCACCTAATTGATAATGTATTTACAAATTCTGCATTCTAGCATCTAATGACATCATGTTTTGAAATAATATTAAATATAATTCTTCTGCGGGAATTTGGCAGATTTACTTCACTTTTTTCTCTCGTTCTTTAACAAATAAGCGATCATAAACGTCAATGAATTTTTTGTCTCTCTTCCCCCCCCCCACTTATTCACTTATTAAGATTAATTATTAAGATTAAGATCGATCGAATGAACGAATGTTAAATTATTAAAATTATATTAATAATTATCATTTTGCAAATAATAATTTTAAAAAATATTCGTTAAAAATTGGAAAGATTGTCATTAAGTTAAGAATCTATAATAAATCGAAGATAGATCAATAGGAAATAATTGTTACAGCCAACTTATCAGAATCGCGAAGCTATCGAGGAGAGCATCGCGAAAAGTAGCGGAGGAGGAAAAATGCCTTCTTTAAACAACAATCTCTCGGAGTTAGACACGTTGCTCCAAGATTTAAGCAACGCCCATTACAATGCTCATTATCAGGAAAGAGGTTAGCATTTTATTTTTGTATGTTTTATTTAAACTTTTGTTTAGAGATATTACGATTGAAATATCGATTACCATAGAAAATCGTATTTCCTCGAGTGGAATGAATGGAGACTCTAGTCCAATGCTTCGTTCTCCAAGTAGCATGTCAGCCTCGAGACCTACCGTCGATTCATTGCTCGAGGAGTTGAGTACTGCGGTACCAAACGGGTAAACTTTCTCATTTTTGAAAAAATTAAAAAATTTGATGTTCATAATGCTTTGATATCGAGTCGAATCTAACGCAATTTCTTTCATCAGAGATTATCCTTCCGATGGAAGAGTGAAAGTTACCATACAGGAAACGTCGACGGAAATCCAGCCCGTGTATGACGGTTATCCTTCTAGGCAACACGGATCGTTAAATCGTGGCGAAGTCCAGAGAAGTTATAGCAATGGTCACACTGCCAGTAACGCTACCAAGGAACTCGATGATTTAATGGCTTCTCTATCCGAATTTAAGGTATGTGTCAATCATGAAATTTGTCACTTTATATTCTCTTTATCGTTTTCAATACGTTTTCATTTGTCATTTGGAAACATAGTTATAATGAAATTGCATAATTACTGGACTTCTCAATAGCGGTTGCAATAATTGTTTTTATAATATTTGTTTATTATTAAAATCATTATAGAATGAGAAAACAGTGCTGTTAAAACTATCTCTGCCCATTCTTGGCTCCCTAGGTTACCAAAATAACTTCCATTCCACCATCTACCACTAGTCAACCATCTACTCCTCATCTCTCTTTCTCTCTCTCCTTCGTCCGTTTCCTTTTCTTCGTCTTCACTGATTTTCTGTAGTAGGGGAGTGAAAATATAGAAGGTGGGGATTATAGTGATCCGCGAAATCTCTCAAAGCTTTCAGCCAGTCTGTAAGCTCATCTCTGCCAATCGACATCTCTTGCGGGTCCTTAAAATTTTTCAATCTTATCTTGAAATATCTTGACATTCCAATTTTAGTAGCTAGTTTTTCGTAATCCTAACTTTGTCGTCGATTTTTTTTTTTTTTTAATTTTCAAGAAACTTATTCGCTTTCCATATTTGCTTTTCATCTTTGCTTGATTCTAAAACATTCTAAAACATTCCATTTCTATGTACGCACGCTGATTATTTTTACCATACATTGTACATTTACAGATCAATAGTAGTTCCCATCAACATCAAACAGTGACTGATTCTCCATACGCTAAACCGAACAAAGCGACCAAGAGTTCACAAAGCCCGTTGCCATCCGAGGGCACGCAAACTAGAATTCACATCACCGAAACTCACACCACTCATCACTACCAACAGCAACACGGAGAACCTTATCCACCACAGCCAGCGACTCAGACCAAACAGAATCAATTGGATTCTATGCTAGGAAATCTTCAAGCCGATATGAGTCGTCAAGGAGTGAACACTACACAAAAAGGATGCTGCAGCGCTTGCGAAAAACCTATCGTGGGACAAGTAAATGAAACTAAATCATCTTGGATTTCCCTCGATATATCGACTTTTCTCAGACGATAAAATTAAATGTGCCTTTACATTACAGGTGATCACTGCTCTAGGAAAAACTTGGCATCCAGAACATTTCACATGCACGCACTGCAATCAGGAACTGGGCACACGAAATTTCTTTGAAAGAGAGGGACATCCGTATTGCGAACCTGATTATCACAATCTTTTTTCTCCACGTTGCGCCTACTGTAATGGCCCCATTCTAGACGTAAGACGTCTAACAAAGTCACGCGCGATGTTTCGATCGATATCTGGAGTTGCATCATGTTTTCGATCTTCTCGTATTCTCTTATTTTCAGAAATGTGTAACCGCTTTGGAAAAAACTTGGCATACGGAACACTTCTTTTGCGCTCAGTGTGGCAAACAATTTGGGGAAGAGGGATTCCACGAGCGGGACGGAAAGCCGTACTGCCGTGAGGATTACTTCGATATGTTCGCTCCGAAATGCGGTGGATGTAATCGTGCTATTATGGAAAATTACATATCCGCCTTAAACAGTCAATGGCATCCAGACTGTTTCGTTTGCAGGGTAGGTTGTGCATTCGTCAATGTTCACACCTAACAAATATTTTTGATTTCCAGCGACGTTTCAGGATTATAACAAAATATCGATGCGATTGTTTAGCAATTCGGTAGCTTTAAAATATACAACTTGTAGGATTGCAAGAAGCCAGTTTCTGGAAAGTCGTTTTATGCGATGGAGGGCAAACCTGTTTGCCCTAAATGCGTTGGTGTCGATGATGATGAAGAGGAAGAAGAAGAAGCATAAGCAATGCTTCGATTTCTTATGTAAAAAATCCTATTGTTCCTTCTTTATGCTGTCAGGCTGCAAAAATGTATAAACCTGACTTTCCCCATATTTTTTCAACAGGTGATTTAGGTAATCCACGAAGGAAGAATGTGCTGATTTAATTTCATCGTCGTCATATCTATCTTTCTCAAAATTACTCATTTACGTATATGAATACACATACACATACGCACACGCACACACATACATATATGGTATAATACACATTATAAACAATTAAGATATTGTTAAGGAATATAATATTATTCTATGGAAAATTATTCAATGCAGTCAGAATTGATTTTTGTTGTCGAACTACGTTTTTTAGATAGATAAACATTTATTAACAATCGTTATACTAATATCAATTGCTAGTATTGTATGCAAAATAAAAATAAATTAGGAAAAAAAACGAAAAAACATACACAATACAAGAGTTAACTCGAAACTCTGACTCTGACGCTGCCGCTTTCCACGTGTCTTCATCGAAGGCAAGTGTGATCGAATGCCGGCATTCTATATTATCTAATCGTAATGTTGTTATGAATTACGATCTGTATTGTTCGTATATTTAACTCTTCTATGTTTATATATACGCAGCACACAACAGATGCGTATGTAACTTATATTTATCTACTTGAAACGCCCCTCTGTGTTATGGTGAAATCGTTCTAGACTCATTCATAAATGAATGAACAGCGTTAGTGCATTAATGTGTATTATTGCATTCTATATATTAATTTTTTTATAATCATGTTCAATAATTTTTTTTTTCATAATATTCTAATTAATATAGCTATTTTTTTTTTTATATCCGTAGGATTGTAGACAAAAATTCCAAGGTGGCTCATTTTTTGATCACGAAGGTTTACCTTATTGCGAAACTCATTATCATGCTAAGAGAGGATCCCTTTGTGCAGGATGTCATAAACCAATTACAGGTCTTTGAACTTTCATTTTTATGAAACTCAAACTTTTATATTGCTAATTGTTAATAGAATTAAATTATTAAATAAACGTTCTTCTTTCAGGTCGTTGTATAACCGCTATGTTTCGGAAATTTCATCCCGAACATTTCGTATGTGCGTTTTGTTTAAAACAATTGAACAAAGGTACTTTTAAAGAACAAAATGACAAACCATACTGTCATGGATGTTTCGATAAGTTATTCGGTTAAAATTTATCATAAAATATTCATATTTGTAACATAAAGACGAACAAGCTATTCTGCTTGGCATTACATATTTATAGACTGCTCATGTATGTCTATACCGCATAGAATATGTAATCGCTTTAATCGTTATGCAGAAATACGTATTTCACGATTTAATCCAAGGCAGCCTTTGAAAATTTTTATAAATCTCAACATGCAAATGGTGCAACAATTTAATTATATGTCATGTATTGTTATGTATTCTTATCATAAGAATAAGGTAATAGAATAACTGTAGTCCTTTGTATCTTCGATCGTCCGGAGTATGGAACATGTTGCTAATATTTTTATGTATATTTTATATTACGTATTTCGAATTGACTGTACAATCAAAGAATTATTAAAGGGTGCTAATTATTAGCTTATTTTTATTAATAACATATTCGTTGATATATATTCAAGAAAAAAAATTATTCGAAAGAAAAATATTTATGTGAAATTGGACTTACTAAATGGATGTTACTAAACATTCGCTGTTTTTTTTGGTAGGTTTGATATGCAAGTTTGAAAAATATTTATATTTACAATTGAAATATTTACAACTATATAGTTAAGATCATTAATATTTATCGAGTTTCTACTGAATATTCGCAAGAAACATATAATTATAAATCTACTAAAACGAATTAATCAAAAACAAAATACTTGATAAATACATAATGTAAAACAGTAAAAATATGAGTTAAAAAATTAATAATGCATTTTGTTTTTTGATCATTTATTATTTCCTAGTTATATTTGTAAATACTAAAAAATAATAATGATTAATAATGATAAAATAAAAATAAACTAAAAGTTTTTTAAATTCATTTATTGTTTATTTGGCATACTGTTGCACAGCATCTATTATTTTTACGATAAACATTTACGAGATTTTATATACATTAGTAATTACTATTTTGTTTAAAAAATTTTTACAACGATATAAATAGTGAATGTTAAATCAAACTTAATATTACAAATACATGTACAAAATAAAAACATGTATAAAAATTATATTTTATATCTGTGCTTTATAAAGTTATTTGTGTCACAATTTCTGTGCTACTTATAATACACTAGTATAAAAAGAACAAATAATTTTTTAGTTATGACAATGATTTCTTCGCAAGTAAAAGTAACGAATATCACAGACATTATATTTTAAATTTTCTTCCTCTGAGAAAACTGTCATGCTAATGTGGGAAATAATTCAGAAAAACTTTCGTGCCAAAGATCCGTCAAAGTAACATTATTTTTTTCGTGCCGTATATCAGAATTCGGAGAACCATGTGATTCATATCCACAATCAGATGCATTAGAATCCAATTTGGAATGTGTATAATTAGTTTCCATTTCTTCTGAATATATACTCGAAGGTGACATAGAATCCGTGTTCGTGTAACATGGAGATAAGTGATTGACATAATAATTCGGTGTTAAATATGTTGAATCTTCGTTTGTGCAAATACTGTCTGTAACTACTTCTTGAACGCATTCTTGAACGCTTACATTGGTTTCATCTCCAGGATAAATAATCATTACAGAATTGGTTGCTTCATCGTAAGTACCATAAATAGTGTCTAAATCATGTGTATCAACTTCTTGTTTTATTTCAATCTCTGATTTTATTGACATGGGTACGCTCGTACTTGTGGTATAAGGTGTACCGGCTGTGCTAGAAACAGGATGCCATGATTGATGTATATTCATGCTTCTACAGGTTCCATTGGTTTCCACATCTTTTGATGTCTGCCCCACCACTCTTTCTGAATAGTGACATTCCTCAATGGTATTTTCCTTGGTTGTTGCCTACACAAGACACAATCATTATATTATTAACAAAAGGAAGACTGAGTTGTACATCAAAAATATGAATTTAGAAACAAATGAAATATTTAATAACATTCAAAAGTTATATTCTAAATTAAAAATTAGTAATTTTAAGTATATTGTAGCAATACTGAATTTTTTTTTTTTAAATAATTCATTCATTTCTATAGTATAAAGTAATAAAATATTAGATAAAATACAACATAATATAATATAATTATCTAGTCAATTTATAATTGATTATCATCAAAACACTCACTTGTTCATTTGTTCTATGAGGATTTGCTTCCACTTCTGCTGTAACTTCTCGCAAAAGGCTTTCTGCAAGTTTTTCAAGTCGTTCGATATAATCATCTCCTTGGAGTTCACTAAACAATTCTTCAAGAGGAAGTAGATGGTCAGAATCTTCAGAAGAATTGTTGCTCCTGGAGTTAATGTCAGAGTTGATGCCAGCTGTGTTGTTCCACCCTGCTGCAGAGGGTGAGTGGAGGATACTGTAGATCCCAGTGAGGACACAGCACAGCTGACACGACTCTGGCACATGGAACAAACAAAGTCTTCTGTGTTCTTGATTTCTCTTTCTTTCCTCAATCTTTTTGTTTCTGTGATCAGCACTTCATTCTGTGATCTTAACATAGAACATTCCTGTGTCAATAATTCATTTTCTTCTCTTAACCTTCGAACAGTTTCTTCTAATTCATCGAGTTTAGCCTTTTTACGATCCCGAGATGTTTGAGCTGCTACTCTATTTTTTAATTTCCTATAAAATATTTTAATATTTAATTAATATAATATATTCTAATATCTAACATCTAATTTAATATTCATAATAAACTAATATTTGCATCATTTCTTTTGAACATACTTCCTCTGAAGTTTTTCTTCCCATGTCAAATGATCTAGCCGTCGTTTCTTTCCGCGAACACAAACATCTGTTTTGAATGATACACTTTCATCCTGAATTTCTTCGAGTTTAGTGATTTTCTTTGTATCCATATTCGGTTTATTAGTTAACACAGAAGTAGTAAAATTTAATTTCGGCACAGACTTTGGTAATTCGCTTGTTGAAATAATGCCAGGCGCCTTTGATGACAGGCCCTTAGGCAACGTGATTATAACACTTTTCAATACGTTCATAATCAGCCATAAAATATAAATTAATTTACTATTGTCACTTGTCTTAAAATTTCACCACCTTATCTTCCCAAACTTCTTAAGCCACCGACTATCGGAAAGCGACTGATATGAAACATAACACTGTCTATCAGGAGAAAATTCCATATGCGCTTCTAGCTGATGTAACTGTACTGACGAACTGCAGCATTTGACTAGCCAAAGAATATCCTAGAACAAGTTGCATCAGTCTTTGATATGACTGGCTGAAGCTAGGAATGTTACATGTGGTGAATCGTTATTGGTTGCCACATCGTATTTCTTCGCACACTCTTTTACTACTACATAATCAAATAATTACATTTTATTGACGTCATATAGTACACATTTTTTTATATTGCTTTTTCTACTAAGATTATATTCTGCTATTTTTCAAACTTTTTAAAATCTAATTAATGATGACTCATTCGATAAATTTTAACATTATATTTCAAAGTTGTTATATTATTTGAATTTATTATTTCTATATAATGAATATTGTTATATTAAAATTTCATTGTTGCCTATAAAATATTCATTGAAAAATGTCATTTAAATTGATTATATTATATTATATTATATGATATTATGTAAAAAATATAAATGAAATTTTAATCGTGCAATATATATAATATATTCGTAATGGTAAAAAAGAAAAAAAATTATAATTTATCAAAATATATGAAATTTTTATAATTAAATAATTAATATAAAAAGAAATGTAAATTTTGAAATCATTATAATTTTTCATTCAATGCAATGATAACATTTATGAATCATTTTACACGTATATATTATAAACTATTTATTATATTGATAGAAGAAAGATAAAATCATAGACGAATTAAAGGATAAAAAGGGAGAATAAATAATTGGAGAAGTATAAGACAAAAAGAACAAATAGTGGGAAAAGGATAGAGATAGAAAAAAATATGGAAATCAGCGTCATCTCCAGAGTGCCGCAAATGAAATTCATGTAGGTAAAATAAATAAATAAGAAAAAGATAGAGATAGAGAATTGATTATTAATACCATCTCTTGGATACCGAAAACATTTATTTAAATGCAAGATAAAGTAGAACAAAAATCGAGAATTAGCATCATCTCTTAAATACTTTTAGAAGCACAATTCTTTGAAGAAATGTCTTACTCCAAAGATGGTGTTGATAGTTAATTCTTATTGTATCTATTTTTTTTCTACTATTTGTCCTTACCTACCTGAGTTTCATTTGCGGCAGTCTGGAGATGGCGCTGATTTCCATATTTTTACCCTATCTCTATCTTTTTCCCACTATTTGTTCTTAACTTACTTTATAAAGTATATATATATATATATGGTGTCGATATCCGATTAACTTTATTGTTTTTTCTGTCTAGCTTATCGATCAAAAATCTTAACAGAATCTATTCAATTCAATTTTGAAACAAAAAAAAAATAGATGTTAGAATTATTGTGTATCTGATTTGTAATAGAACATTATTGATAATCGATATGTTCATTATTGAATACAGAATACTATAAAATTTAAAATAAAATTTCGTACGTGTATGTTTAAATTATTTAGTAGAATTTGTACAACTCTGTTTATTTAATAGAACAAGAAAGTTTATTTAATATGTAAAAATGTAAAATATATTTCCAGATGCACAAACCAATCAAAAATTTTTGCACGAAAAGAAACTAAACAATTATATCAAGTTGGCTAGCCCGATGGTGCATCGCGCATCGCATCTCATAGATACTAGCCATTAATCTATGGAATCGACCACACTGTAGACAAAGAAGCTACAAGGAGACAAAGAAGGAAAATATTGAGAGGAAGAGGGCGTTGCAGAATGTCACGAGTAGACACGAGGATTCGACAGGACTTGGCTTTCAGTCGCAGCTCGGCAGTCTGTACGAGACGAGCGAGATACGTGTAGTAAAGTGTGTAGTTTGTATACATATACGTGCACGGTGCATGTATTTACTACTCATAGATGTACTCTCGCGTGTGTAAGGGTAACCGATACGCCGGACGAGTTGACACACGCGCAGCAATGGCGTACCCCTTTGAAGAAGCCTGAACGTGTTCTGTCGTTTAATTTTTCTTTGTGCAGCTGTGTTTAAAGTGAGTGAAAAAGACAAATAATCCGAGTAAAAGTTTTTATATGTAAGGCAACGATAGAATTGCAAAACGACGTCGGTATATTAAAGTGTTTCAATCTTGTTGAAACGAAGAAACGAGACGTTACGCCCAGCCTGTTCAGATCCAAGCCCCCATTGCTTGCTCTGATATATAAATCTACTCTTCGTTCTCATGAATGTCTCTGAATTTTTGTAAATAAAAAATCCGATTAAAAGTGGAAGTGTGGCATTCTAACGTTTAATTGCAAATATAATGCATATATGTAACAAGCAAGATATTACGTGCGAAGGATTTGTGAAAGAGTGAAGTGGATTACTATATGTATCGAGAATTCGAAAGGGAAAAGACGAAAAAAATACATTTATGTTATATTATATTATTATTATATTATATTATATAGAGAAGGAAAAGGATTTTGGAATAGAAACGAAAGATTAGAGAGAAACGAATAGAAACGGAAGATCATAAAAGGCAAAGATCGATGTTGCAAGGAAGCCGGTGTCCAACAAATCAGGGCCGGTGGTGTTCGAATTCATAGTCAGTTGTAAGCTCTTTACGACTTTTTTTTCCTTCTCTCTCTCGAAATATGCGATAACGCTCTTTTGCTCATGTACATTGGGGGCTTCTGCCTCGAGGGCTTTCCTTGGTGTTGGATATAATAGCTGATTGGTCCAACCCTTGGATAAGGCAACCCTCTCTCGCAACGATGAATCGTACCATTTTTTTTCGTCTCATTTCAAGATATGCCCATAAAAATTGCGCAAAGTACCACAATTATTAAGAGGGTCATACGATTGGAAGAGAGATATTAAGAACATATAAAGAAGTATAAAAACAAGGAAAAGAAAAGAAGAAGAAAGAGAAATAAAAGGAAAGGGGTTAGTTAAGAAAACTAAAGAAAAAAGTGCTGGAGAATCGCGAATTCGCGTCTCCGGCTGTGTGGTGAAACATCGGGTAATCTCAACGCTGGGCGAGACGGAGAGCAGTGGATCGTGGTCGTCATCGGGGAGAATAATCACGAGGATCCCACGAAATGAGAGGCTAGCGTTCGAGGTGGGTCGTTGGTCAGCGGGCGTGCAAGAAGGGACGGTTCGGCGGCGGAAGCCTGGATAGTAGGAGGTTTCCAACATGGCCGCTGCCTGCTACGAGAAGGAAGTGGTGGTAGGTGCCGCTATGCATGGACACGGTCATCACCATCACCACCACCATCATCATCACCATCACCATCACCATCATGGAATCGGCGGCGGATCTACCGGCGGTGGCGGCGGCCCGGCTGCCACGGGTGCCGCGACGGGACCGAGTGGACAACAAACCGTCCTACCGGCCGCATCGACCGGCATCCTCGACACCACCGTCACTGCTGCTGCCGTCGGCTCCGGTACGACCGCAAACACAAATACGACGACCGCCACCGCGACCGCAGCAGCTGTCGCAGCCGCGGCGGCAGCCGCTGCGGTTGCAGTCACCACCTACAAGGACTACAAGGATTACTCGCAACCTCTCCACGTTGACTGCAGTGTCGAGTACGAGCTGCCGAGCCAAGCAAAACCACCACCCGGTGGCGGTGAACCTCTTCTCATGATACACCCATGCTATTATCGACGAGCTGAACGTGAAAGGAGAAGTCCTTTCGTCAACAATCTACCACCACCGGCAAACGCGCCGATTTCGTCGAGGCGAAGCAGCAGGCGAAGTGCCTCGGCCGCTGTCGTTGCCACCGCGACCGCAGCCGCTGCCGTTTCCTCCACCTCGTCCGTTGTTGCACCCTCTTCTACGGCTGCCGCCGTTTCTACCTCGACTGTGTCATCTTCCAGTTCCGCTGTCGCAGCCGCAGCAGCAGTCTTATCGGCAACTGTTGTCGCAACAACCGATTCAGGATCGAATCTCGTTTCCACAACCAGTCAAATGTCTGCTGCGGCTATGGCAGCTTCCTATCGTGCGGCTCTCAATGCTGCTGCAACTCTATCGCAACAACAACAACAACAACAGCAACAAAGACGTCAACATCATCCGCAACAGCAACAACAATCACAAGCACCTCCACCACCGCCACAGCAGCAACAACAAAGTCATCATCTTCATCGATCTCATGCTCACCCCCTCCACAATCAACAAACCCAGCAGCAGCAGCAGCAAGTAAGTTCGGTGTCGTCAACCTCTTCCGCCACCGAACTAATCTCTGCTGACGAAAAAGCAGTCATATCAGGTATTTATCAACACTACTTCCGCGCAATGCGCGCTCACAATCATCAGCATCGACAGCAACAGCAGCAACAGCAGCAGCAACAAGCAACACAGCAACATCGAACGACTCATCAGATTCATCATCAACCTCACCAAAGCGACCGAAGTTCCTCCTCGTCGGTGACACCAACGGTTACGTCAATATCCGGCATATTGCGGCAGACTTATCAACAGACGTATAACGCGACGAATTCGAGTTCGTCGAGTCATCTACGGGCAACAACAGCCTCGGTGGTCGGGCATCATCCGTACAGGCGACCGTCGACCACGTTGCGTGCAACATCACACATTGGTCAACAGGCTTCTTCCTCTTCTTCCTCGTCCTCTTCCTCCTCGACGTCGATCGGTGCTTCCAGCGGCGTTTCTTCTGGTGGCGTTTCCAGTGTATACGCGAGCACAATACACAGGCATCATGCCACTTCGCTACACGCCCTTCAAGCGGCTGGTTTTTACGAAACGCCTGGTTATCATGCGCTTTTGCCGCAGAGTTAGGTGTCTACCAGCAGCGTGAACCCGCTCGAGACCGACCCTATTGCCAACCTTCATTTATTCACCTAATCCGGCTACAAAGCTGTGTGCTCTCTCTTCCCTATTGTACGACTTATCTTCCATACTCGTTAAAGCGCATACGGGTTGGTCTAACTCTGCCTAGTACACTCGGGATACATCTATCTCTGCGACATACACGCTACTTCTCCCTACGTGTATTCACTGTATATACGTGTATGTATGTATCGTCGTCGACGCAACGATCGTACGTGCCGTGCTCTCCGTTGTTGGCAGTGGTGTGCGGGTGGCCGGACGGACGGACGGACGAGCAGAAAGCCACAGAATAAACACACGACGCATACACACCACCACCATCACTACCACCACCACCATCACCATCACCACTATTATACACAGATATACATTCAACCAGAGACAGATGGATGGAACCACTAACAACTGAAATGGTTGCCTATGTAGGCATCGACCAATTTCATCCACCTGCAATATGTGTGCGCTTCTCAGGTATAAAAATCCATTTGCTTAGGTCTTGTATTAACGTCTTATTATTTTTAGTCATACACTTTCAGCCAAAGACACGAGATTTCCTCCGCGTAAATTCTTGAAACTCGGATGCCTTTCTTAGCCGGGCAAACATCGTGTACACGCGATCCTTCTCTCGTTGTATGCCATCGCCGCTGTAGTCACGACGACGGTGGCGGCTGCGGCTCCTTTCGCTCTTTTTCTCATCCTTCGTCTTTGAATACTGGCGGATCGCGTACACATCAGTCAACAATAGTATATTTTTCAGATATACAAAATCGATATACGTACAATTTAGTCTCATTTTCAAACGAGTTATACATTATTGGTCATCAATAATTCATTATATCGTTATTCCCTAACTAGCGAATAGCTTATTACTTTGGTTTTACCTCAACTCTTCTCTGCTTATATACTCGGAACCCATCGACAATCATTGTAATCACAAGTGCCAAAATCTGAATGCAACGTTATATACATTTTCCGATAGGGTACAAGCGCAATTTTTTTTTTCTTCGAACAAAAACCACATACAGGGACACTTGTCTTTTCTTTTCTTTTCTTTTTTCTTTTTTCTTTTCTTTGCGAGCATATACAGGAAACGGCAATGTGACGTTGCACATTGCATTTGTCCTGCTCTAACGGAACGTCCGTTTCTCGTTTCGTCCTTTCTCCCAGAACGCTTCTCGTTTCTTCGTTCGAACTTCTTTGTTTTTCTCCGTCTCTGTCCGTCTCTCGGAACGGAACATCTCTAGAAAGGCGAGAGAGGTCCGAGAGAGAGTCGGGGCAGCAGGATTTCTTCTTTTTTGTCCTGCGCCCTTTTCAAAGAGCGCGCTCAAGGAGAAACGGACGGGGACCGTATTTCGTTACACGGTAACGATCGATCAACGTGACCGCACGACCGCACCGGCGGTACGGGCGAGCCGTGGCGAAGCGAGACGAAGCGAGGCGAGGCGAGGCGAGGCGAAACGAGACGACGACGAGTCGGGACGAACGGGACGGGGACGGGACGAACGGTCGGGACGGGACGGGACGGGATGGGACGGATCTGGGCGGTTACGGGACGCGAGGAGTACGGGGGACGCGACCAAACCAGACGAGAAGGGGGCGCGGTCAAGATGGGGATCGGTATATAGACGAAACCAAGAGACTGCTCGCACGCATTGGAGGGAGCGGGACGCGTCGCCGCGTGTTCCGAAAACACTGACGACCGTGTACACGGATGGACGTTAGACTAATAGCCGCTAATGTGAACCTGCGACTCCTATAATTTCCAACCGTCGTGGAGAACCTTGGAAAATTGGTTAGAAGGGAAGAACTAGATAGATTGAAAGTAACTTTTCTGCTATGGAAGTCGTCGTCGCGAATACTCGAAGAAATAAAAAGGGGAAGAAATATGAAAGTCACGTTTCGTTCGATAAAAAAAAAAAACCTCTCGTTAGGATATCGATTCTGATGATAAATTTTCTTTTCGTGAATTTGCATTCAACTCTCATCACTCCCTTTCATGTGATTTGACTTTAACGATTTGTTTTTGTTTTCCGATTAAGGTGTTAAAAAAGACTGTTCGCAAACGATTTATTTTTGTAGGAAAAACTCGTGCGTATTTTCGTGCGATGTTTTCCGAAAAGAAATTCGTGGAAGAGATCCAAAGAAAAAGAGAGAGAAAAAGCTGTGGATAAAATAGGAAAAGAAGGAGAAAGGGTCGTACTGTCTACAGTGTATCGCGGCATATCCTCTAGCGCATATTGCGTTTGACACGACATGTATCGAAAAGGCTTGATGGAGCACAATCAGGCGCAATCGTACCTCCTTCGGGCACACACAACCCCGGTCGATAGTAAATACGTTTCCTAGTTATATAGATCGTGGCCCTGTGCACACGGCAAAGGGTTAAAAACTTCATCCACTGATAGATATTTATACGATGTGGAAGGAAGGAGGGCATTATTGTGCCTCGTTGAAACCCCCGTCGAACTCGTTATATAATGTGACGTGGACACATCAGGTAATTAGGAAGCGTCGCAAGCAGAAACGTTGGCTGCTGACTTTGAAAAGGTTTCACTGGTTTGTTTGTCGGTTTCTTTCTCGCTCTTCGCCGAATGGACAAAGAAGAAAAATTCGCTTGCACGTTATTTTTAAATTTCGTCCGTGGAACTATTCCTCGGCGATATTCTACTTTCGAACGATGATATCCCGATGGATTTTCACAACGCGTGGTGGCCATATAGCATGTTAAATCGTCATCGGTACAATGGTTCACGTATCGAATCCTGATTCGACTGGTTTCAATCGGGACACAAAGGCGACGCGAAAATGTTCAGTTTCGTGTGTACACGAAGTCTCTCGTTCCTGGTAAATTTTGTTGGCAGAGCTCGGTTGTCGAGAGCAGAGTTCGTTCCTGGCACCACTTACCCTTCGCCGTCCATCTCGGCCGAGCATTTCCGCCCCGGTGTTTTTGCTCGTTCAAAGGGAACGAACCTCTTAGCGGCGAAGTAGAGGGAAGCTAAACGGATACAGGGCCTAAATACAGTTACTTGAACTGTGAACGACGGAAAAAACTTTTCGCGTTACTTTTTTTTGCAAGCTGTTTACCAATCGATAGATCTTCTAATAAAATTTTTATTTTCGAAAATATCAATTATTCATATGTGTATTCTAAAATACCGAGACACGTTAAAAAAAAACGATAAATGGCTATATTTTTTTAAAAGCGAAGAATTATGACGGTGATAGTTCCCGATAATCTACAAAAAGATAAATGAGTAGACATTGTTACTGTCGTTAATCCCAATTATCGATATTTTTCACTTTTTTAATATTTTTAATATTCACTTTTTTCTCTTACTTTTCTTCAAAAAGAAAAAAATTTAAAAATAAATAAATTTATTTTTAATTTTAATCTTCGATCAGTTATGATTTGTACGTCAGCTTTATTAAACATTCTCTCCGATTCTGTCAATTCTTCGTCTCTAGTTTAATATTTCGATCTAGTTTCTCCTTCTTCTTCTTCTTCTTCGTTCACTTGGCCTCTTTTTCTCTTCAGTTTCTCCGTAATCTGCCATCAACCGCGTATATACATACTACTTTCGTGTTCGATTCGATATATTCCGTCGCTTCCTATGCAAAGGATACGCTCGTAGAATTCGATTGTCGTTCGTCGATACGTCGAAAGAGAAAAAAGAGGAGGGGACTCGCGAGCGAGCGAGCGAGCGAGCAAAAGAATGAACGAATAAGATTCTGTTAGTCTGGGAGCATTGTAGCGTCGCAACGACGAGACACGGTCGAATGTCAAGCAGAGTGTCGCTGCTGATACGATCAAAGCTACGCCTTAAACTTTTCACCTCGTGCTGCATATCAGGAATCAAAGCTAAAAGTGCCTCGCCTCTTACTTGAATGATTACTCGATTCATGAGAGATCGTCATTGACTAGACTCGAAACGCGTTTTATTGTTGAAAGTTTCGCGTGTGCCAAAATTTATTACGTTATTACGCGCATTTTTATCCGACCAATTACCCTAAAAATATTCTTTTTCTCTCTTTTTTTTTTTTTTTTTCCTAAATCAGTATTACTTTTCGCATTTATATCGCCTATATTCCAGCTGAGATCAACGTTTACGTCAATCAGGTATATTATCGTTGTTATCGTCGTCTCGAAAAAGCTGGGAGCATTACGTAAGGGGAACGTTGAACGACTTTCCGGGCTGCGCGCATCTTCTCTAGGGGAGATAACGCGATAGAGGCGCTCCTTTTCTCTCGTAGTTGCCACCGGCTCGATCTCAGGAAACACGTGCACGCTGTGCACCACTCGCTTTCTTTTTTCGCGTCTGATTCCACGATTCTCCTCTCCTGCACGGAACGCTGTTCTCCGTGGTGGATATATATATATATATATATATATATATATA